TCTTTTTTTTCCTAGTTGAGACAGCCTGATGTATCAATAGATACTGTTGCTATTTTCCCAAACTTGATCTGAGGATGGATAAAGCAACATTTTGCAATAGTCACTTGACCAACAGAGGCATCAGTTCAAAAGTGGCCATATTCTGGTGTATTTAAATTACACGCTTACAACATATAATCAGTGGAAGAGTATGATGAGGTCAAGGAAAGAATTAAAGAGGTGCTTACAACATATAACCAGTGGAGGAGTACGATGAGGTCAAGGAAAGAATTAAAGAGGGGCTGTGGTTCACTAGTAACTCCCTTTTCGCTTTAACATTTAAAATGGGTGATTTCACTATGGCTGTTTTATATTCAAAGTGGTTCATCTGAGACTGATGCTTTTTTTTTTGAAGGAAAACTGCTGTGAATGCACAAACAACATAAATATTAATATATGTTAAAACAAAGCCTTTGCATCATATTACTGGGTTATTTTACACTTTGTAAGAAAAATTTTTGCTTTCATCAGTCATGGGATTACAAGTGATGGGCCAGGCCATCATATTTACTCATAAAATATAGTACTGGCAGCCACAATATAAGCTTTCGACAGTATTCCATAAACCATCAGCTGTGTCCCACAGATGTCATCTTGTTTAACTCAAAATTCAGTTTAGTTACTAGCCTCATTTTGTATAATTTGTGTTAAATTGCTCAATTCCCACCTAAGCTAGACTGATGTTAAACTGAAGCTATAGTAAAGGGAGAGGAGATAAAAATAAAATTAGAGTTTGATGAGTGAACATGTTGTAATGAGTCCTGATATTTAACTCAACAGTTTTGACTAACAAGTATATTTTAGTGAAATTAGTGAGTGGCCCACTTCATTTTCTCAGGTGCTAGCAATTTGTATAGTGGAAATGAAGATCAGGGATAAGTATCAGGCCAGTTCTACTCTTTAGTGTATTGTCAGTATAGCTATGTTGGTCCTGGGTGTGAAAAAAGACATGCACACACTTCTGGCTGACAAACCTATTCCAACAAAAAGCACAGTATACACAGTTATGCTCAAAGAAAACTGCTTCTGTTGCCATAAGCAATGTCATTGGGAAAGCGGCTATCATGCTGACAGAAATACAACTAATACACTTTGCAGATTAAAAAAGTCCCCATATTGGCCTTGACTTCATGCAAGTTTAGTAGAATCACTAATGTTCCGAAACTGTTCTACGGATTTCTTAATAACAATTTGCAAGGAAGATAATTACTGTGTTTATATGCATCCAAGCTTGAGATTTAGTCTGTTCTGTAGAATATTCAGGCTCAGCTAATGGTTGCTTTCACTGAATTTCAAGAACATTGAATATTTAACATTGTTGGTTAGAGATTCATAAAATATTATACAGTTTAGGCCCTCTGATACATTGGAGTGAAAAACTAAGGTAACTGGTAACTAGAGATGGCACACTCTACACCTTAGTTTTTCACTCCAATGTAACTGGTAACTAGAGATGGCACACTCTAGATTTGTCCATATAATGCTGGAAGCAGAAGTTGTGTGACAAAATGCATTTCACGCTCAGCTTGGTGGAGTTAAATGAAGGTGTCCAGAAAAATCTTCTCTATTTAGGCAGGTTTTTGCAAAAAGAATTAGTTTGTGGGAATGTTGTTGGTGTTTTTTCTAGGGAATTTTCCATCTGTTTTAGTAGAGCTTGTAACTAGGGATGTGAATGACTAGTCATTTCTCTCCCCCCCCCCATCCCCGCTACCTCTATCAGAAAGAGGCAGCAAGAGGTGGGGAGGGGGGAGCTTCAAAGTGGCAATGCTCCGGCTCTATGCAGCGCTGCCGCTTTGAAATGCCGCATGCAGCCCGGGGTCAGCTACGAGTCTCCAGCTGGTCCTAGGCTGCATGCAGTGTTTCAAAGCAGCAGCACCGCATGGAGCCCCAGCTCAGCTAGGGACTTCCCTGCGGACCCTGGGCTCCATGCAGCTTTACCGCTTTGAAATGCCACAAAGAGTACATGGGGCTGGGAAGAGGGAGACTGCTTGAGTCCTCCGATGACCCCATGCTCCCCGCAGCACTTTCATCTTCAAAGGTGGAGGCATCCTTATCAATTAATCCAATAGTCAATGCAAATTGCATCAACTATTCAATTAGCCAATCAAACAAAATATTACATCCTTACCTATGACAATTTTGATTTAATTGATGGTACCAAGAGTGTTATGTACTTTAAACAAAATTTGTAAATTTTACCTGCATGGCTGCAAGCACAGGCAATCCCATCTCCCATTGGCCAGGAATGGCATTTTGCATCCAATCGGAGCTGTAGAAAGCTGTGTCCTGATTCGCACCACTTCTAGGCATTCTTACTGGCCAAGGTCCGCGATTCATGGCCAATGGGAGCTGCGTTCGCTGGTACCTGCAGAGGTGCAAATTTATATAGGAACGACAGCCTAACAGGGCCTAACTCTTAGAAACCCTGTTCTAAGGACTCAGGTGGAAGGTGTATTAAATCACCAAAACTCAGAAGCAAGGGATCTCAGAGACAATGGTATTCAGAAATTTCAAGACTATTCTGAGATAGTACAGCAGACTCAAGTTTAGTCTGTCTTCCACGTCTCAAGGAAAAGCAAAACTAGATATTACAATTGCCACTGAAGAAATGTGGGCACTGACGAAACTGTGCTCTTCTGCTTGTCCGAATGGCTGCTTGCTTTATGAAGAGCTACAAGGGGTCCCGGAGTTGAGGCAGAAGATTAATTGTTGATAACACCATCCGGAGTGAAGGAAATGTAGCTGGTCAGAAAAAAATACCTCACTTCCTACTAGGTTCAACCATTGAGGGGAAACCCTTTAATTCAAATGGTTAAGTATCAGCAATCTTTAATTTACATTACAGGATAAGTATTCTAGAATTGTTAATTTAACTGAACATTTTTTCTGATGGCTCCTCCTTTCAGGCATTACTTTTTCCAGAGATATACCTCATCCCATAACTGGGTCATTTTGGAGATGGCTCATGACATTTGGTAAGGGACATACTGTCTAAACTGTTTATGAACATTTTAATAGATCCATTTTTTTTAACTGAAACTTAAGATTCAAAATGCTGGATTTCTTAGTTTCCTTGCATTCTACCTCAAATTTACAGCTTACTTTAATTCCCAGCCTATGTCAAAAACAAAACTCTTTCAGTACAGAGGAATAGCAAAGAACAGCTATATAGGGGAAAAAGTTATTCTCTTTAAGATGTGAACACACTAATAAAAAAACCTGTAATCTCCACTGATGAACTATTAATACATATTGAAACAAGTTCAAAATGTGCTTGTCACTGTACATATTTAATTAGATATGCATTAACATATGCAAATATGTATCTGAGTGTTTTTATATTGTAAAACATCTGTTGTGTTATGTATGTTATTTCCTTAAGCCTTTAGTGGTATTCATGCTTATAAATATTTATCCAGTGTTCACATGTGTCACATTTACAGGCTTCAGACCAAATTTATCTTGTGAATGTAATAAAGTACTTAAAATAAGTAACTTGGAAGTGTTTACAACCTGAAGGACATCTTGTTGTACAGAATGGCTATGTCTACACTACAAGGTGTGCGTGTAAAAATGGACGTTTTTGCGCAAAACCCGGCAGAGTGTCCACACCTCAAGCACATTTTTGTGCATATAAATCGACAGAGGGCTTTTGCCAGTAAAATTATTCCTCTTCCGAGGAGGAATAACTCCTATAACTCTTGCGCAAAAGGCAGGTATGGACGCTCCAGAGGGGTTTTTGAGCAAGAAACCCCTATCGGAAAAAGCACAGGAGCTCCGATGGCCATTCTGTGAATGGCCATCAGAGCTTTCTTGCGCAAGAGTGTCCATGCAGTGTGGATGCTCTTTTATGCAAAAGCACATAGTTTTTGTGATGTGCTTTGAGGTCTGGATGCGCTTTTGCGCAAGAAGTTTTTGTGCAAGAACTCTTCAGCAAAAGGCTTCTTGTACAAAAACCTTGCAGTGTAGACAAACCCAACGTGTTTTGACTAGCTAACCAAGGAAAAATAACAGAATAGCATAGCACTCACTTGAACATCTACAACAATAATGATGAAGTTCCTGAGGAAATAACTGTATATTCAAATACTTTATTTCTGAAATGGAAAAACAGATAATCTACTTTGAAAAAATCAATGTAAGCTATAATCTGCAGGGCTCGACAAACAGTACAATCTACTCACTCGTGGCGAGAAGATTTCCGCTGCGTGCCCTGTTCATTCGCGGCTCTTGCGCATGTGCTATATGGGGCTGGCGAGCAGTTTTCGCCGCCATTTGTCAAGCCCTGATAATCTGTATCAGTGATTTTCAAACTGTGGGTCAGGACCCCATTTAATGGGGTCACCAGGGCTGGCTGAGGATTGCCAAAGCCAAAGCCCAACCCAGCCCCCGGGGCTGAACCCTTAATGGGGTCACCACGGCTGGCTGAGAATTGCCAAAGCCAAAGCCCAACCCAGCCCCCGGGGCTGAACCCCAAGAGCTATAATCCTGAGCTGCAGGGCTAGCTTACAGGCCCCCCTGCCTGACGCTGAAGCCCTTAGGCTTTGTTCTCCTACCAAGAGGTGGGTTCAGGAGCCTTTTGGGGTTATGTTGTAATTTTTGTCATCAGAAGGGGGTTGTGGTGTAATGAAGTTTGAGAGCCCCGATCTACACAGTAGTGAGTAATCAAGTTACAGAATTTATTGAGACCCCGATCTACACGGTAGTGAGTAATCAAGTTACAGAATTTAGAGGTGCATGCCTGGATCCACAGAAAAGTTTAAAATATCCCATCAGTTTTAACAAATATTTTTCATTCAGTTTGAAAGAGGTAACAAAAGAAGGAATAAGAACGAACAAGATAAGCACAAGCCTGGTAGGGACAGCCATGTTTATTAGTACCCTTAAAACAACACAAGAGGAAGAGAAAACTAAAGACACAAAAAAGCTCTGCTTTAGAATAAAGACAGACTACTGTTTTCTCTAACAGATTTATTTCAAAAGGACACAAGTCTCATGAAACTACAGCTTTTTTTTTTTAACAAATTGACTCCTACACATTTCAATGCTTCTATTTTAAATAGTTAAAATATAAAACCTTATGCTGAAAGTGATACGAATATCAAATACTACGGTTTGTGCACGTGAAGTACTGAATACCTTTTTCCAGTTGCAGACACTCCAGTAGGTAGTATTGCTTTAGTATAATTAAGTTGAAATGTACCCCAACACTGAGAAGCCTAAAGGTCCTATAAACACTCACTGCAATGCTTAAGTAGGGTTTAAGTGATACAATGAGTCTCGTATGGACTTTTCTCCTCCATGGGAAGAGTACGAAGAACAAAAGTCTGCTATAAAAATTGTTGGCTATGGTTATTGGAGGAAAGTTCTGATTTTCAGACAGCTATTTTAAATACACCTTTAACACTTAGCTGTATTGTTACTAAACAAGAGATATGCATTTATTTAATCTAACATGTAACAATACACTACACAAAATTTAACGTGTACTTTTGTACATTTTTGAATAGGCAAAATACCATAGTCAATGGGATCCACAAAAATATGATGGGTATTTATTTTGTTGAACTGGAACAAGGCATTTTTAACACACTACACACTTTAAAAATGTACTTACAAGAATTTAAACACCTTTAAATATCTGTTTCAGAAATGTTACTAAAAGGAAGTTTGTGATCTCACCTAATGTGGTGGGTTTTTTTTTTCAAAATTACATAAAACTATCACTTTATTCACCCCAAACTAAAATCAGAGTATACCACATTGACAATGGAAAAGTAACTTTTCAGTAATTGAATTAACTAATTATTACTTCTTCAGTTTATTTAGATGTAGTATTTACAGAAGTATTTACCTTCACTATACAACTGTGAGAATGAGGCATTGAGGCTGGTGTCTTAATTGATGAACTAGCTTGTCCTTACTTCCTGCAAGACTTTTCCTTAAAAGCCTTATCTGTAACAACACTCTAATAGGGCAAGAAGAGAGTACTGGGACAAGATATTTAGTCCCATCAATTCCTCTTTTAAATAGACAATACATTATTAATCGGATATCTACTTTAGCCTCAAATTTAAAGGAAATATAATTTACTAAAATATTTATTTTGTGCTATTAATCAGATCTATATTAGAAATTAAGTGGCCTTCATAATAATGTTTTGTCCATTCAATAGGTGTGGATGATAAGTAGTTGAGGCAAAGTCTATCCCAAGTTGGTAAATTCTATGTATTTCAGAGATGTATGTCAGTTCCTGTTATTTTATTTTCTGTGTAATTTCATAAACAGACATTGTCAAGATGGCAAGCCCTAAATACTAAAATTTGAGGGCAGGGCACATCATGCTGTCTCTTGCTCTCTATCACTTATTCCTTCCTTGTGAGATTACAGGGCATTAAATATGCATTAATCCAGCTATGTCTACTTTAGTTTAATATATTTATGTTCTTCGGTATCTTTCTTGGATCGTCCAGACAGAAGTACTGGACAATCCAGTAAGTACCCATCTCACATCCACATCCACAGATGGATTTTTCAAGCACTTCAGACTACTAGCTAGTTGCCCAGACCTGCTTCTGGCTTTTATATTTGTGCTTCACCTCCTGTTTTGCATAGCAGATCAGTTTTCAAGATCAAGGTAACAGTGTTTTAAAAATAAACACCTTATTTTAGGGATAGGTAAAATATTTTGTGTATCAATATATCATTCAACCCTGGCAGTCTCCCTCAATTTAAACAGTCCATGTTCATAACTGGATATGGGAAGGGATTGTCTTCCTTCTCTGCGCTTTCAAAAATTCTTTAAAATTAAGCATTTATTTTATTCATGTATCTGGAAAATGAATACAAAGATGCATTTTTCCACATGTAAAGAGACCTAAATCATCCAATCTGATACTAGAGTTCAGGAACATAACGTTTATCAACTTGTAAAAAGAGACATTGAAAAAAAAAAAACCTGAAGCAGTTTGAAATACAAAACATTATGCAGTTACTTAAGCCACATCCAAAATATTGTCAGGAAGAATTACAAATATAAAAAAGCATGTAAGAAGACATCATGTCACAGTGCTGTGTTTTGAAGTCTGTACCTTCATATTTAAGAAGCACCTTTTGAAAAAAAGCAATTCAGGCACCAGAAATATCTTTAAAAAACTTAAGTTACAATCAGGCATAAAAGTTCATTGGAAAGGCACAGATGAAAGATAAAAGTACTTTAATTCTAACAGTATCAGATTACAATCTAAAAAAGTCCCCAAATGTGGCAAATTGTGTACACATCTAATATCTACTTCATTGTCTAAATTCAGATTGAAAAGGGTTTATACTCTACATAATAATTCAGATAAAAAAATTGTGTACATACCTACAACTAAGACAAACATCCAAGAGCAAGCTGAATAATCTCACAAACCTAGTCAGCTATAGAGAAGACAATATAGCTTAAAGTTTCCCTAACCTATTGAGAAAGACTTGTCTCGCACCATCATCATACAAATATACATTGTATCTTTCACACAGGCAGTTCAGACATTTACCTTATAATATGATCAATGTTGCACTCTAACTTCCTTTTCTGTTTGAAACAATACTTGGCAGTTTAATAACTACTACTGACATTTAAAATTTACAACATTCTTTGTTCTGAAAAAAATCACTTTCGCAAAGACGCAAGCTGATGCAAAACTCAAAAACACTATCCATAACAACCCAATACTTATAAGATATCAATAGTACTTTTAATAAGTCAAACTGGTACAGAAACCACTCAAGCAATTTTTTTTAAAGTTTGTAAATTTTGAAAGATTGTTTTTTTAAAAAATTCAACAAAATCAATTTTAGTTCTATCTACATTTCTGGATAATGACAATACATGAAGAGAAATTATTTAAGATTGGTTTGCATTTCAAGGGGATATTAAGAACTAAGTTTTTATCCCTTCTGCAAATTTTTTATACAAAAAATATTACACACAATGTTCTAGAACAGCAGACTAATGCTGTACTGTGTAAATATACACTTGGATCAAGATCTTCAAAAATAAGTTTCCAAAGTAAGCGGCCAGATTTTATCAAGGGGTCAGCACTCAACATTTCCCATTAAATCTGGGTGGAGAGCTTTTGGGTGCTTACCTCCTTGGAATCAAATTATGGATTTGGAAATCTAAAGCAAGGTTCTGAAAATCTAAAAGCATGACAGATCAATATCTATCACACAAAGAACTATGAAAACAGTTCATCTGAGGTTTCGGAAGACTAGGTTCTATAAACAAGCTGGTTTAAACTTGATCATGCCTCTTTAATACCAGTAAACAGTTTGGGGTTCCTTGGCATGAATATAATAAAATGCTCTTCTCTTACACTATGTCTAGACTGCATTCCTCTCTCGATAGAAAATTCAAATGAAGCATGGATTTACAAATCTTGCACTTCATTTGCATAATCACATCCAAGTGCTTTAAAAAAAAGTTTTTCAGAAACACTCCTTCACCTGCCCCCACCACCACAAAACCCCACAGTCTAGACGTGGTTCTTTTGGGGGGGGGGGGAAGAGGAGGAAAAAAAACCCACACCCCCTTTTTTGGAAAGGACCCGTACTCCTGAAAGAGATGTACAGGTTCTTTTCAAAAAAGGGTTTTTAATCGAAAGAAATCCATCTAGACTGCGGAGTTGTTGTTTTTTTTAAAAAAAGCGCTTAGACATGATTATGCAAATGAAACATGAGATTTGTAAACCTGTGCTTTATTTTAATTTTCTATCTGCTTCATTTGCGTTCCTTTTTCCAGAGAGGAATGCAGTCTAGACAAGCCCTTACAGTTGGAGTATCAAAAAGTTTGCAAGTTCCCCTGTAGCATTTCTGCTTGTTAATTAATAAACTTGATTTTCAGATTAAATGTGACTGGATTCCATTAACTGAAACTGGTAGCCAATGTAATGAGTTCTCAGCAATTCAGAAGATGCTCCAAAAGCACATTACGAAAGTTAAAGATTTCCACAGACTTTCAGTAAAATATTTAGATAATTCAAGTACTTCAGACATCTTGGCCATTATCACAGAATGGGCCAAAGGACTCAAAAGATTTAAGTCATTCCAAATTTGGAGGGTGGAATCACTGGAATTCTAACTTCATGAAATACAGCCAAAATGTCTTTTCATGCCTAAAAATAGTGTTATTTTATATTCAGAATGCCACATCTAGCTGATATAGTTTCTTCAGCAACCTATCTAAAATCCAAATACCACCACTGTTTCATGTCTTATTAGGAACGTAAATGAATTTGCTGAAGCATTTAATTAACATACTCTAATAATTCAAAATTCATTAGCAAAAGTGATGGCTGTTCAAACTTACTCTTTCATTTTCTTCAATGGCAATTTTGTGCACTTTTTAAATGTAAGTTGGAAAAAGGTCCCCTCCCCCCCACAATTCTTTGTGAAGAATTTTAAAGAAATATAAATTAACACCATTCTATACTATGGACCCATCCTTGCTTTGTGCTGGAATCATCACAGGGACCGCTCCCATTCTACTTAGATTAGGCGCAGCTACCTTTGATGGTGGAAAGTTTGGATTTTGACCAGAAGGATGTTCAAAGTCTTCACTTGGTACTTGATTATATGGAGTCTTGGTATATCCTTCCATATTGGAGGGAGACATTGAACCCAGAGAAGAATGATTGCTGCCTATGTAGCTGCGGGCTGTTGAAGTTCGACTCTTTGGAGGAGGAACATCCTCTCTGAAAACAGTTAAAAATAAAAATTGTTTATACCAAGAAATTATTGGTGTCTTGAGGGATTTGTAAAATTTCTGGAGGAGGGGTTATTCCAAAAATAAAAGTAGCAAAAACAGTGATACTGTTCATTACTCTTAAAAAAAAGTATGTTTCAAAATATTTATCAATTTCAGAATCTATTTTTAAACTGAACAACACATTTTGAAACGTATCAGAAAATAGGATATATGGGCATATTAATAGGCATATTAATAGATATTCATTAAGACTAGAAAATTATAGGGTAAGTTGTCATACTGACTTAATATATTGGCTTAGATCAAAACAGAATTCTAATCAGCCAGAATGCATATATTACCTATGAAAAAAATTAAAAAGTTATTTTCCAGTTTCAGATATTACTGCTCAAAGGATAAAGACAATGGGTCATTACCTAATATCATGATGCACTTCTTTTTCGTATTTTTTCTCTCTACGTTTCTTACAGCAACAGAAGATGAGAAAAGCCAGTAAAAAGAGACCCAGAAGAGTTCCAATAACTGCCCCAGCAATTGTGCCAGCTGTATTCATAGCTAGAATAGATTAACAGAGATTTCAGTTAAAGGCTAGTATTATAGTACAGATTAGACCTTCCTGGTCCAGCACCCGTGGGATTTGACTGGTCCCCAGATGAGGGAATTTTCTGGACCAGGGGAGGTCATTTCAGGCCCTATGCTGCCGGCCCCCCTCCTGGTACCCCACACCCGAAGGCTTCTTGGCTCCCCCAGTAGCTCAGATGAGCCATGCAGAAGCTCCCAGCCCCTCCCCTGCCCAGTAGAGACGTGCACCAGCTCGCAGGCTCCCTTCCCCCTGCAGCCCAATTGGACACACTGATTCTGGAACATCCATGGTCTTGCCAGACCACGGATATTGCAGGACTAGAGAATCGTGGATTTTAGAGATGGAACCTGTATTTATATAAACTAGAGAATTCTCCTTTCACACCTTAAAATAAAAACCAATGTTCCCTATACTAAGAAATATTACTGAACTGATACATGAGTACTTATACACGTTTAAATTTAAAAAAATCATTCATGCTGATCAAAAGGCCGACTCATTTGTTGGAGCTGAAAGAATGCTCCATATTCAAAAATATAACAAAATTAAAAGTGGATTAAAACATTTTATTTAACTCATTCACCAACACTAAGATTTTGTGGCAATTACTATACAGCAAGTACTTACGAGGAGTGATATTTAGCACAACAAAACACTCATCAGTGCCAACTGTGTTTGCAGCCACACAAGTATATGTACCAGAATATTCCTGAGAGGCATTTTTCAGAGAGAGTTCACCTGTATCTTTATCTATTAATATTAAAGAAACTTTGGTTAACATTTTCCAGAAATGGTTAATCCATTACAACACATTTTATTTAAAAATTTAAATACTGATGTCTGTCTTGACATTAGTTTGAAAAAATGAGACACCCATCAAGCTGCAAAGAACTCTCATACACAATACTATTATTCTTAATAAATGGAAATGTATTCCATAGCATTTAATTTCAGCATTAACTCTTGGTACTCCATACCAATCACAGTAAAACTCCAATGCTCCGGCACTCCTGATGGCCCGGCACCATCGGGAACCGGGAAGGGCTCGGGGCAGCCGGACAATTGGAGCTGCTCTGTGCCTGGCTTCCCCGATTCAGCAGCTGCTGAAACTGACCAGCAGCAGCTGAATCGGGGATGCCTGGGGCAGAGCCAGACTATTAGAAGGGAGGGCATGAGGGGGGTG